GAGTGTGAATGTATGGGTGTTTCCCAGTACTGGGTTGCAGCTAGAAGGGCATCCACTGCGTAAAACTTATACTGGATAAGTTGGCTGTTCATGCCATGGTAGCAACCCTTGATTATTAAAATAACTAAGCCAAAAATAAATTGAATAAATGTACTTTTGAAAATGATTTCCTTCTTTTAGAAGAGACTTTCTTAGTATGTTTCTGCTTTTGTTTTGAGAAATTTCATGATCTCTGAAATGTACAGGTTTAATAGGATTTAGACAAATAAAACTGTATAAATAATTTAAAACAGGTGACAAGTTGTAGCCACAGAAGTTGTTTATCATCAGAATCAGTTAAACCAGAAACACTCCAGGCAAACACATGAAACCGGTCTGACTGCTGAAACTCTTCAGGGATTTCAGCTCATGTATCTACAAATAAGATTGTGTGAATCCACTGTACTGTAATTCACTATTGTCATATAAAGATACTCAGCTCTTTTTTTTCACAAATTTACAGTTATTGCAATAACATTATTAAATTATTAAATAACACCACATAATCTTGGGTTATTACTAAACTTGGAAAAGTGATCTGTTATATTTCTGCATTAAAGCAAAAACTAATATATTACAGTAATTGCTTTACTATGTTGCTCTCAACATGATATTATAGACAGACAGGCAGACAGACAGACAGACAGACAGACAGACAGATAGACAGATAGATAGATAGATAGATAGATAGATAGATAGATAGATAGATAGATAGATAGATAGATAGATAGATAGATAGATAGAAGTTTTCAAACCTTTCTTGGGGCAATGACCTGCTCCATAGACCCTATAAACCAGCTCAATCTAGCAAAACTTTTTGTCCTGCCCGAAACTCTGACTACAAATCATATCTTTATGATCAAACTGGATTTTGTGGGTTTTCTCTGGGTGCTTCGGATTCCACCACAGACCAAACACGTGTGCTATAAGGGAATTGAGTAAGCTAAATTGACCTTAGTGTATGAGTGTGAATGTAAGGGTGGTTGAGTGTTTCTCAGTACTAGGTTGCAGCTAGAAGGACATCTGCTGTGTAAAACATATACTGGATAAGTTGGCTTTTCATTGCGCTGTAGTGACCCCTGATTAATAAAGAGACTGAGCCAAGAATAAAATAAATGAACGAATGTACTTTTGAAACTGATTTTCCTTATTTTAGAGGAGAATTTCTTAGTTTGTTTTCTGCTTTTGTTTTGAGAAATTGTATAATCTTTGCAATGTACAGGTTTAAAAGTATTTAGACAAATAAAACTGTATAAATAAGGTAAAACTGTTGATGTTGTAGCCACAGCAGAAGGTTGTTTATCATCAGAATCAGTTAAACCAGAAACACTTCAGGCAAACACATGAAACCGGTCTGACTGCTGAAACTCTTCAGGGATTTCAGCTCGTATCTACAAATAAGATTGTGTGAATCCACTGTACTGTAAATCATTATTGTCATATAAAGATACTAATCTCTCCACAAATTTACACTCATAAAACAAACTAAATGCATTCATGAATACAGTTATTGCAATAACATTATTAAATAATTAAATAATACCACTTAACCTCGGGTTATTAAACTTTGGAAAAGTGATCTGTTATAGTTCTGCATTACAGCAAAAAACGAATATATTAGAGTAATTGCTTTACTGTGTTGCTCTCAACACTGATATTACAGACAGATAGATAGATAGATAGATAGATAGATAGATAGATAGATAGATAGATAGATAGATAGATAGATGGATAGATGGATAGATGGATGGATGTGTGAAAGTAGCACTACTTGATGTTAGGCAGGACCGGATTAACCAATGGGCATGATGGGCCACAGGCCCAAGGGCCCGTGCGCACTTGGGACCCCTGCGAGGGGGAAAAAAAGGCGATTTTGGAGTGTCTTTTTAGGCTAATTGCAAATAGCGCACCTAGTTGGAATAAGCTGTTCATGGTTTACGCGCACTCGTGCTACTTTTTCTTTCCCTTTTACATATCAGATTGGAAATATATGTATTTTTAATAGGAAGGAAACATTTTGTAAAAAAATAATGCAAACGTGACATAAAAGTCACAAGTGCCTCGTGGGTATTTAATAATGTTTAGCCTATTTCATAAGTGTAACAGCATCTATATAGTGATTATATTCTATAAACAGTTATTTTCCACCTGGTGATAAATGTTAGCAACATCTTAATAGAATTGATTTGTATCTACAATGTTATCTACAATCTTCCGAACTCTGTTCGTCATCATCATTTGCTGCAACTAGCCCTACTTCACCCGTATTCTCCGACCTCATGGCTCTGTGTGAAGAACAGTTAATAGATGGATGTTCCATACACAGCTTCTTTAAACAGACCCATGATCAGGAGAATGAGGGTATAGAAGAAGACGTTATGGTAACGTTAGATGAGTAAGCTAGCATTGACCAGGCGGAGGCTAATGGCAGCGTAGCATGGACTGGATACATCATGTCAGAGAGACAGACAGAAAAAGGAGAGAGAGAGGGAGAAAGATAGAAAGAAAGGCCCTGAAAAAGAGAGGGACCGGAGAGAAGAAAAGGTATAGTGTGTGTGATTTCGGATACTTTTAGGTTTATAATCAAGTTGATCTATGCTGTTTGCCTACTCTTCATCACGAGAAGAGTGTAGAAAATACAGGGAGAGGAGAGAGACAATAATTCATTAATAAGTGTGTATTATGAAAGACTCAGATTCATAGAACTGGATTGGAGAGGCATAGTGTGTTATATGCCATGCCAATAATATGCTTTATACGTTTGTAAAAGTTATATATGGAAAATACCCTTTAAAAAAATAAAATTATATATATATATAATTCTTCCTGAATTTGGGGCCTGGTGTTAGCTTTGAAGCATTTTTAAGTTTACCTAAGCAGTAGTGTGGGTTATGTGGTAGTATGTAGTGTGTAATTCAAATGCAGCATGAGTACTGGTTTAGTCATGAAATGCCTATGTGATCTATTATATTTTCCAGAATGTGCTGGTCATCCAGGTACAGAAGATTTGCTATATGCAGGGCAGCAGAGAGAAAATGGTGTAAATCCAAGAATGCAGCTGACTTGAGCAGGTATCAGTCTGTTCTGTCTACAACCAGTACTGCTAAATATACTCTACTAGAAGCTCAACGGCATTTTAGACGTGTGCAACTCTTCAGGACATTTAAAGCCCCTATTATGCAATAAAAAGGTTATATTTTGGTTTTGGGGGACTCCAAAAACAGTCTAATATGCAAAAACACTTTCATTGTCTTATAATATGCATTTATTTTTACATAAGTATCCCAATAACGGGCATCACAGGGGCGCAGTGGGCGGCACAATCACCTCACAGCAAGGTCACTGGTTTGAACCTCTGCTGGGTCAGTTGTATGTTCTCCCCATGTTGCCGTGGCTTTCCTCCGGGTGCTCGGGTTTCCACCACAGTCCAAACACATGCGCTATTGGGGAATTGGGTAGCCTAAATTGTCCTTGTGTATGTTTATGAATGAGAGTGTATGGATTTTTCCCAGTGATGGGTTGCAGATGGAAGGGCATCCGCTATGTAAAACATGTTGGATAAGTTGGCAATAATTCCGCTGTGGCGACCCTAGATAAATAAACGGACCAAGCCAAAAAGAAAATGAATGAATGAATATCCCAAATAATATTATTTGATTTGATCAGTGATTTATTTGTTTGGTCGACTGCGTTCAGCACGAGACAGAGAATTGCCCACCATGCCTAATCAACAATTTAGAAGTAGTCAGAGTGCAGAGTGTATGTCTGAGCGCAATGCAGGAGTGCGTTGAAGCAATGCAGTTAAACACCAGCATATTTCTCTTTTCTTAACAATCACATACATTCAGTATTAATCCACACAGTGGCAAAAGCTGAACTATTATGGAATTTAAAAGCTGCACAGGTGTAGGAAAAGCTGTGGATTGCAAGCTCACAGATGTGTTTAAATGCGGTATGTGTCACGTTTTTAACCTGGCATTAGACGCAATATGAAAATATAAAGAGTTAACCAGATACAGTACAAGCCATTTGGAACGGTTACAAGTAACAAAACACAAATAAATACATATTTCTTAGTTTATTTTCTGATTATTTTTTGAGAAATTTCATGATCTCTGAAATGTACAGGTTTAATAGTATTTAGACAAATAAAACTGTATAAATAATGTAAAACAGTTGATGTTGTAGCCACAGCAGTTGTTTATCATCAGAATCAGTTAAACCAGAAACACTCCAGGAAAATACATGAAACCGGTCTGACTGCTGAAACTCTTCAGGGATTTCAGCTCATGTATCAACAAATAAGACTGTGTGAATCCACTGTACTGTAGATCACTATTGTCAAATAATGATACTCAGCCCTTCTTTTCCACAAATTTACACACATAAAACAAACTAAATGGAAGAAGTGTGCCAGAGAGTGGTTCACTAGGACTTGTAGTTTGAGAGCAAAGCGCACCTGAGCCCTTAACTGAAGGAGAGACATGACTTTTAAGGCACTGTTTCATCTGTGTTTATTAATCATTCTTACAGTTTAATGAATATGAACTGTCGTAGTTTATTAAAGACGCAAACCCCTCACTGCACGACAGCTTCAAACTTTAGAAAACCTCCTGATACCTGCAGCACAAGTACTTTATGTCTATGAGCATCAAAAGTGGCTGATCTGTTCGGCGAATTATTTGACTGTGTGTCACTGCATATCAAATGACTAAAACAATATAACTAAAGAAATGTCCACTGTGCAGAGTGAGAGCACAGTGGACACAGATTTCAGTATCAGAATGAGAAGTTTTTTTCTTTCTGTGATTCTCTTCCAGAAACACACTTGACATTAAAATGTGTAAATGAAATTCTCAGAATGTCTTTAGCTCAGTAGTAAAGTCTCAGAAAGAGATGATCGATAGGTATTTAGATGACATTTAAAAATGATATAAAGCACAGAAAGAGCTAATTCTTACCTCAAATAATGCATGCAGATCTTTCTGTTCCTCCACTGAACTGTTGAATTGAACAATAGATCTAAAAATTCTTTCACCTTTGGAAAACACGTCCCAACCTGTTTGAGACATGACGAAATAACCAGTTAGATGAAAAACACAGACACACAAGTACATAAGAATATAAGATAGCAATAGAGGCTTTGCTCGGCTGGTAATAGCAGTGTTGCGAGTACAAAAGTAAAGCAGTCACTGTAATATTGCAGGTCTCTTTTCCAAATGTGGTATATATTAGTGTTTGTGTTTCTCTTCAGTGATTCTGCCTATTAACAACAGATCTTCAACATCAATGCTCGATCATCATTTAATTGTCTGATTAACTACATACGTGAGTGATTTGCGAAACAAAGCACAGAGTTGCAGAACTGGAGATTTTCAGAAAGAATTAATAAGGGATCTACTCATGTGCAGAATACTTCATGATGGAATGAGAAAACTGCTGTTGCATGACAACGAGTTGACATTAGCAAAGGTTATTGAAACATGTCAGATACATGAACTGACAGATCAGCACACCAAAACATTAGCTGGACCAAAACACAACCTGTCAAATGTGGATAGTGTTCAACAAATGATAAAAAGAAAGTCATTTCGTTCTCCCAAGCCCAGATTAGACAAGTTTGCTCCACAGCAAATTCATAATTGCAGCAATTGTGGAACAAACCACGAAGCTAAACGGGAGAGATGTACTGCGTATGGCCAGCAATGTCACTGGTGCAATAAATGGAATCACTTTTAGAAATGTTGCAAATCAACTAAAGTTCACAGTGCAAGAAATCTAAGAAAAACTGAATCAAATTGAAGTTTCTAAAACTTCCAATAGCAGTGAAGACTCCTTCTTGATATATGGAGTTGCTCTGAACCATCAAAATATGGCTAATATAGATTTAAAACAGCTGAAAAAACCTGCAATATCTTGCACAGTCCAAATCAATGGAAAAACAACTGAATTGAAAATTGACACAGGAGCCTCATGCAACATCATGTCCTCACAAACATTTGCACATGTAAAGCAACATGAAAATCTGCATGTGTCGAGCCATGTAAAGGTTGTTGCTCATGGTGGAGAGGAGATTCAAACGGCTGGATCCACTGCGTTACCTTGTCATCTGAATGGTCAGATCTATACTTTACAGTTCTACGTGGTTCAAAGGGATGTACAGCCACTACTTGGGCTCTCTGATTGTCTTTGGATGGACCTCATTTCTCTCAATAAAGCAGTACACCAAGTCAGTCTAAAAGAAACAGGTTTAGCTCAACAGATCAACACAGAATATGCAAATCTTTTCCAAGAAGAAATAAGAAAACTTCCTGTGACATACTGCATGAAACTTGACAAGGAAGCTCAACCTGTTGTTCATCCAGCACGCAGAATTCCTGCAGCGATGCAAAACAAGGCGAAAGCAGAGTTAGAAAAGATGGTTGCTATGGGTGTTCTCAGCCCTGTATCGGAACCTACTGACTGGGTATCTTCTATGGTGGCCACTCACAAGAAAAACTCAGATGAAAATAAGACTGTGCATTGATCCTAGAGACCTAAATAAGTTTCTGAAACGTCCACGTCACCCTATGCGCACAGTGGAAGAAGTGGCGGCACAAATGCTGAATTCTACTGTATTTTCAGTGCTAGATGATAAGAGCTACTTTTGGCAGATTTCACTAGACCAAAAGTCGTCTCTACTTACAAAGTTCTGTCAGGGTTGGTGATGGGAAATGGGGAAAAAGGAGCGAGGACTCAAGTGCAAACAGGATGATTTATTGATAATAAAAATAAAACAAAATTAGAACAAAAACCACCCCGAGGGGGAAAAACATAACTATAAAACAAACACTCAAACAAACTTGGAAGGGCTGGCAGGACAAACAGGACTGGATAGCACACGACATGGAAATAACGACGACGACGAACAGGCAAATGACTGAAAACATGAGGGGGATTATAAAGCAAAAAGTAAATTGACACACAGGTGAACATGACAAACTAATAATGAGTAAACAAGGAGGGTGGGACTAGACAAAAGACGGGAGAGCGCATGACACAGAGAGACAATACAAGCCATGCGCTCACATAACACAACACTGAAGCACACGACAAAAGCACGTGACCACAATGTAAACACCGAGCCACGTGCTTTGACAAAAGACGCAAGACACGAGCACACGATGAATGAAAGCACTCACCGCGCGCTCACACACGCAGCGTGCATGCTTCATCCCAGCGCCGACCAAAACCGAAACCAACAAGACTGAGACGCTGGGAATGAAACACCACGCTGCTGACAAACGAAAACACAAACACGAGTACAAGAGCGCACGCGTCTGAGGGACGCAGAGCGCGCGCGCGGCCGCGTCAAGCAGAAGCGCGCACACTCTGCGTACACCCACGACGGCGCGCGCGCACACAGAGACAGAAACAGGACCGGACATGGGTAGTGTCAGAGCTCTGCCACCAAAACAAGAATTTACAAAGACCAGAGTGGCAGAACCCTGACACTAGCCCCCCCCCCAAAAGGGACGCCACCTGGCGTCCCTAAAGGGAACATCCAACAAGGTACAAGACAGACAAGAAACACTACATGATAACAAAACAGGCAACATCAGACACAAGACAGGGAGGTGAACAAGCAAGACGACATGAAGGGAGGGAGGGAGGGAAGCCAAGCCAGACCCAACAAGACAAACAAGGGAGGGATGGGAGGGCAAGACCAGGGAGGATCAGGAGGGACAGTCCAGGGTGGATTCAGTGGGTTGGGGGCCCCGGCAGGGAGCCAGGGTGGAGCCGGAGGGTCCGTCCAGGGTGCAGGGAGGGAACACCAGGGAGGAGCAGGAGGGACGACCCAGGGAGAGTCTATCAGGGGAGACAAGGCAGGAGGTCGGTGGGGAGCCGGCTGGGCTGGAGGCCTGTGGGGAGCCGGCTGGGCTGGAGGCCTGTGGGGAGCCGGCTGGGCTGGAGGCCAGAGGGGAGCCGGCAGGGCAGGAGACCAGAGGGGAGCCTTCAGGGCTGGAGACCAGAGGGGAGCCGGCAGGGCAGGGAGCCGGGCTGGGGCCGGCAGGGCAGGGAGCCGGGCTGGGGCCGGCTGGGCAAGACGTCTGGGTGGCGCTGGCAGGGCAAGACGTCTGGGTGGCGCCGGCAGGGCAAGACGTCTGGGTGGCGCCGGCGGGGCAAGGAGCCGGGCTGGGGCCGGCAGGGCAAGGAGCCGGGCTGGGGCCGGCAGGGCTAGACGTCTGGTAGGTTCCGGCAGGGAAAGGAGCCGGACTGGGGCCGGCAGGGCTAGACGTCTGGTAGGTGCCGGCAGGGAAAGACGTCTGGTAGGTGCCGGCAGGGAAAGACGTCTGGTAGGTGCCGGCAGGGCAAGGTGCCGGGCTGGGGCCGGCTGGGCAAGACGTCTGGGTGGTGCCGGCAGGGCAAGGAGCCGGGCTGGGGCCGGCAGGGCTAGACGTCTGGTAGGTTCCGGCAGGGAAAGGAGCCGGACTGGGGCCGGCAGGGCTAGACGTCTGGTAGGTGCCGGCAGGGCTAGACGTCTGGTAGGTGCCGGCAGGGAAAGACGTCTGGTAGGTGCCGGCAGGGAAAGACGTCTGGTAGGTGCCGGCAGGGAAAGACGTCTGGTAGGTGCCGGCAGGGAAAGACGTCTGGTAGGTGCCGGCAGGGCAAGGTGCCGGGCTGGGGCCGGCTGGGCAAGACGTCTGGTTGGGACCGGCAGGGCAAGGAGCCGGGCTGGGGCCGGCTGGGCAAGACGTCTGGGTGGTGCCGGCAGGGCAAAGAGCCGGGCTGGGGCCGGCAGGGCAAGACGTCTGATTGGCGCCGGCAGGGCAAGGAGCCGGGCTGAAGCCGGCAGGGCAAGACGTCTGGATGGCGCCGGCAGGGCAAGACGTCTGGTTGGGACCGGCAGGGCAAGGAGCCGGGCTGAAGCCGGCAGGGCAAGACGTCTGGGTGGCGCCGGCAGGGCAAGGAGCCGGACTGGGACCGGCACTGAGCTGCGCTCAGGGGCTGGAGCCGACACTGTAGGGCGCTCAGGGGCTGGAGCCGACACTGGAGGGCGCTCAGGGGCTGGAGCCGACACTGGAGGGCGCTCAGGGGCTGGAGCCGACACTGGAGGGCGCTCAGGGGCTGGAGCCGACACTGGAGGGCGCTCAGGGGCTGGAGCCGACACTGGAGGGCGCTCAGGGGCTGGAGCCGACACTGGAGGGCGCTCAGGGGCTGGAGCCGACACTGGAGGGCGCTCAGGGGCTGGAGCCGACACTGGAGGGCGCTCTGGGGCTGGAGCCGACACTGGAGGGCGCTCTGGGGCTGATGCAGCAGTTTGGGCAGCCCTCTTTCTCTGCAGCCTCCGTTTACTCGACCGAGTCAGAGGGAGGTCATGAGCTGCACTCGTAGAGGAAGGAAGGGTGGAGTACTTGCCACAATCAGCTGGAGGAGGTGTGAGGATCTGCCAATCCTTACGGTGGTGGAGATAAAGTGAAAAGCCCCAGAAGTCCAACACCCCAAGCTGATCCATCTCCCACTGTGGCAGGGGTTCATCGAGACAGAGATTAAAAGCTTCCTTCAGAGTGGCGTCATCAAACTCAAGCCCCCTAGCATAAGTCCAAAAAAACTGGGCAAAGCTTTTTACCTCCAGACCTTGCTGGCGGGCCGACACCAGCCCCTGAAGGCGCCTCTGTCTCTCCTCTGCTGTGGTGGGTGGAAGGATAATTATGCTCATCCTGTTGCTGAGTCCTCTGTTTGGCCTGTTCGTACTGTCAGGGTTGGTGATGGGAAATGGGGAAAAAGGAGCGAGGACTCAAGTGCAAACAGGATGATTTATTGATAATAAAAATAAAACAAAATTAGAACAAAAACCACCCCGAGGGGGAAAAACATAACTATAAAACAAACACTCAAACAAACTTGGAAGGGCTGGCAGGACAAACAGGACTGGATAGCACACGACATGGAAATAACGATGACGACGAACAGGCAAATGACTGAAAACATGAGGGGGATTATAAAGCAAAAAGTAAATTGACACACAGGTGAACATGACAAACTAATAATGAGTAAACAAGGAGGGTGGGACTAGACAATAGACGGGAGAGCGCATGACACAGAGAGACAATACAAGCCATGCGCTCACATAACACAACACTGAAGCACACGACAAAAGCACGTGACCACAATGTAAACACCGAGCCACGTGCTTTGACAAAAGACGCAAGACACGAGCACACGATGAATGAAAGCACTCACCGCGCTCACACACGCAGCGTGCATGCTTCATCCCAGCGCCGACCAAAACCGAAACCAACAAGACTGAGACGCTGGGAATGAAACACCACGCTGCTGACAAACGAAAACACAAACACGAGTACAAGAGCGCACGCGTCTGAGGGACGCAGAGCGCGCGCGCGGCCGCGTCAAGCAGAAGCGCGCACACTCTGCGTACACCCACGACGGCGCGCGCGCACACAGAGACAGAAACAGGACCGGACATGGGTAGTGTCAGAGCTCTGCCACCAAAACAAGAATTTACAAAGACCAGAGTGGCAGAACCCTGACAAGTTCAGTACGCCGTTTGGTAGATTCAGATTTCTTCGAATGCCCTTTGGTATTAATCCTGCCAGCGAAGTTTTTCAGCATGCCATGGAACAAATGGAACAAAACTAAAAAGGCACTTTTCTGTTCACGGGAGTCCACACAAGGTCCTTTTTGGACAACGGCACCCAATTCACAAGTCAACGATTTAAAGAATTCGCTGCAGCTTGGGATTTTGCACACAACACCAGTAGCCCAGAATATCCACAAGCTAATGGGCTAGCTGAGAGGGCAGTGCAAAGTGCAAAACATATAATGGAGATATCCAAAAAAGATGGATTTGATGTGTTTCAAAACTTGCTCAACATCAGAAACATTCTACGTGATCAGATTCTGGGTTCTCCTGCAGAGAGATTAATGTCTAGGCAGACTCGAACAGCTCTACCAGTTAGCAAATCTGCCCTTGTGCCAGCCTCGAAAAACAATGTTTCTGTCAAGGAACAACTCTCGAGGAAGAGGCAATATCAAAAGCAATACCATGACAAATCTTGTAAAACACTGTGACCACTTTCGCAAGGTGAAGTAATGAGACTGGCAACTTCCAAAGGTCATGATCGAATTGGACTTGTTAAAAAACTCTTGGATGAACCAAGGTCATATCTTGTGGAATCAGAAGGAAGAGAATACAGATGAAACCGAAAATACATTCTTCCAGTCACAAAACCATCACCACAACTGTTGACCCCCTCTGTCAAGTCTAAACACGAACATCCCACTCCAGAGGATTTAGAGAACATTGCACCTTACAAGAAACCAAGAAGAAACCATTTATTGAACATTCAACAAAAGTTGTTCCCAAAACTCCTTACGTGACCAGAGTTGGTCGTCTTTGCAAACCAAACCCAAAATACATAGACTGAGATGAAAAAAGAAAACACTCAATCGCTAAGTAACAATACAGAATGTATAAAAGTTGTTTAATTAATGCTTAAAATCTGAGCTGTTAAAAGTTTCATAGCCTCTCTTTAAGCTCAGTTTACCTCTTAGAAACGTTTCTCAAACAACTGAAATTTCGATTTAGTTTGCTATGCAATAATCTTTTGTTAAGAAGAAACTGTCACAGTTAAAGAAGGAGGATGTAGAATTTGTGTTCTGTCGCTTTAAATGCTCTGTTCCTAAACCTGCTACTGCGCATGTACAACAGTGATACGGCAGAAAGAAAAAGCCATCATGTAAAGTTATGTGAACTGTTTACTGTGCACAAGTAAAAGCTGTTAAACGTTATTATGGTCTGCTGGCTCGTCATCTAACACTATCCACGAGAGCGAAAGTGAAAGTTAATCATTTATTTCATTCTCACGCAGCAGATGCTCTGTTTAACTGTTCTTTTGCTAGTAAAAATGCTCAGTTTTTACACTTACATTTACTTTACGTCATGTAAATAGCAAATGCATCATGGCGCAACGCAACTGACTCTTAAAGGGAATGGGAGATGAGACTCTGACTGTTTTTTTCTCAAAACATACCTCTACCTCATTAAGAAAATAAGCTCAACAATTTTAGACCATGCACCACGGCGCAAAAGCGTTTTTTTCCGTCCTTATATTAGAAAAAGTGAATTCTGACATGCTCTGTATGGGTTTGCACCCTGCGCTTTGCACTTTGCCCATGGACCGTCAAAATAGAGCCCCTAGTGTAAAAGGAATTTATTTTACTTTAAAAGGAAGTAGTTTAATTTCAACGTAAAAGCCCTTTGATCTTAAATGAACAAGATCATTATTTGTCATGAATCAGGTTATTGCAAAGCTTAAGAAACAGAAATAATGTGATTAATAGAGGAACTACAGATGTTGAATTATGAAAATAGATTATGCTAATTTTAAAAATATATAAAAAGATAATGCTAAGGAATGTTCCAGCACAATTAAAGTTTTACTATGCAATTAAAATATTAGAAAGCTATGGGTTTAATAAATATAATGTTGCTAGACCACAGTGATCACAGGCCCAATAGCATGCCAGTGGTGGTAAAATGCAACTTAAAATATGTTTTTAGCAAAGTATGAACACCTGGACAAAATAAACTTTAATTTAGTTTTTTATTAAAATCTGTGTAAACAGATGCAGTCAGTCTTTCTCTTTTACAACTCTGCAGCACTGATATAGCTGATGTTATGTTTAATAGTGTGGTTAACTCAGCTGCTGTAAGGAGAGGAGAACACTAATGAACCTAATTTTAAATGTTGGTATTGATAACAAATTTTGGCTAAAATATTTGTCATTATTTGCAGTAACAGCACATACATAAACTAGACACAAACATTAGCTACTCTGTAAAAAACTAGTCCTGACAGTATGTTTTTAGCTCATTTTATCTAACTGAACTAAGTTAATCATGTTCTATCTTAAATTCTATAAGTTATGCAAGCTGTTTTAGGTCAGTTTAACATAATATAAGATCAATGTACTCATGATTAATTTGATTCAATTAAAAAAATTAGGCAACCAGCATTTTTTTACAATCTAGTAAAGTTTTTATGTAGCCTATTTCTAAGTTTAAAATATGTAAAGTTGCAATTTACTAGTTTATTTTCTTTAGATGGGCATTATGTTGTTTATTAATGTATTAAATAAAATATTTCAAGTATTAAATTAATGCTTATGTGCCTGACAAACTTAACAAACAAATTAGAATATTACATTGGAATATAATACACTGAACATTGTATTTACAGAATTTTTACAAATTACAATGTGTGACCCAGTGTGTGAAAACCAGGCCAGATCTAATTCTAAGATAAAGTTTGATTGAAGCCATTCATTTCAGTTGTTGACATTGTTTTACTCACTTAATATAAAATACATATATTATAATTATTTTCACAGACTGTTCTTTATTTCATGTTAAAAACAGTAAATTCCAAAAAAAATAAATAAATAAAATAAGACTCCAGCTAGATTTTCACAGACTAGGTCACATTTTTAACATATTAAGCAATTAACCTAAATATTGTTGATAATGATTACACTGTCATTACCATGTCTGCATCGGGAGATACTTGGGGTATGAAGAACTGTCTGCTTTGATTTTTGCAAGTTCTGTCATTTCGGGAATGCTGCTCTCCAGAGGTGACACATCGTGCAGTTAGCTTAATAACAATTTCTAACACTCTGCAGCCAGGTATTTGTTTCCTCTCACTCTGCAGTATTTATTCAGTCGCTTGCGTTTAAACTCTGAAACTTTTAAGATGCGGAGGGTTACCTGGAGAAGCATCTGTCATTACTCTCTGTCAAGACTTGACAGTCTCTGCTGAAAAGACCCGCCCTCTTCACTGGACAAAGACCAATCAAACTAACGATGACATCAAGTATTACCCTATGAAAAGTAGAACATGAGGCATCTACATAAAATGTGTGTGGGATAATTTGCATGAAAAGCTACTTTAAAAAAAAAGATAAAAATACGAGACAAAACATGTCCCATATTGAATCAAAACGGGATGCACAATTTCATTCTTAAATACGGGACAATTCCGTATTTTAAGGGACGGGTGGCAACCCTACCGAGCGTGTATAGGTGTGTTTGCATGCAGCAAGTTTATATGTATGTGCATGTGTTAATTTGGGTGTTTATATGAGGATCAAGTTTATATGTATGTGCCTGTGCATGTGGGTGTATGCATGCGTCAAGTTTATATCTATATACACAAGTTTTATCTGTGTTGTTTTGAACATCCAGTAGTAAAGGTGTATATGCGAGTTATTTATCGGTGTATATGCATGTGTTTCCTGTATGTGTTGATAAGCTACGTTTGATTTAAATCCTACACGGCACCTTATAGATTCACTGAATGTATACTGTGATGTTTGTATCTTCATAAGTGTGCATTTTCAGCTGCTTCAGGATCAATTATTCTGTGGAAGGAGGCAGTCCTCCAAATAAACCGGTTTTGTGAGTGTTGTGCATTCTTTAAGATATAAACAGGTTTTTTGATGTTTCTCAGCACTTCTTTTTGCAGAAAAAAACATGAAAACTCAACTTTAATGACACACGACAGCAGCTCAATGTCCCACTCTTTATTAGTGATAAAACACTGAAAACTGCAGCAGAACATCAGTCATAATTAAACTCAGTATTGAACTAAAATATTCTCCATTACAGCTCCTTCTCGATTCATTTAACACTTTAGTTTAGGTAACAATTCACACTATTAAATACTGGATTATTACCTGCTAATTCTAAAGATAACAGTTAATTAGCACGTTGATAACAGCAGGTACGAATGGCACTCGCAAGAGACATTTAATATCTCATCGGCCTCTCTTGAATTCACGAAAACAAAAACTGCAAAAATACATACCTGCTGCGATGTATTTCGCGGCCTCCAGAAACATGTATAGAGGTTCGTTTTCAGAATGAGCCTGGGTTGAATGTAGTCCCTGAGATGAATGTCCCCCTTACTTTAATTGTAATCCCCATTAAAACGCCCCGATTGCTCTTCTAATCACATAATTCTCAGGAATTATGGAGAGAAATGATCTACAAGGAGCAGAGTTAGTCTCACGCTTTTATCTTCTTTTATTTTCTGGATTTCAGAGTAGTTTTCTACTGCAGTAAAGCATAACACATCTACCCTGCTATGCATATTTAAAAAGGATACAATATTTTTGTTGTAGATTTGAGAAATACAATAAATAAACCTGTTTCAATTCTTCCTTAGGTCATCACCTGTTGTTCACCATAGCATACCTTACATAAAGATGGCCAATGCTATGAGAAGATAGCCAACGCTTTGAAACTGTGCTGCAGCACAGTGGCCAAGAACTTCAACCGCTTTAAGAGGACAGAGGTTCTTCTCAGAACAGGCCTCACCATGGTCAGCCAAAGAAGCTGAGTGCACGTTCTGAGCTTCACATCCAAAGATTGTCTTTGGAAAAACAGACGGATGAGTGCTTCCAGCATTGATGCAGAGATTGAAAATATGAGAGGTGAACCTGTCAGTGCTCACATCGTATGCCGCACACTGCATCAAATTAGTTTGCATGGTTGTAGTCCAAGAAGGAAGCCTCTTCTAAAGACGATGCAAGAAGCTTGCAAACAATTTGCTGCAGATATGCAAACTAAGGACCAGTATTACTGGAACCATGTCCTGTGGTCTAAGACCAAGATAAACCCATTTGGTTCATATGGTGTCAAGTGTGTGGCAGCAACCAGGTGGGGAGAACAAAGACAAGTGTGTCTTGCCTACCAATAAACATGGTGGTGGGAGTGTCATGTTCTGGGGCTGCATGAGTGCTGCTGGCATTGGGGAGCAACATTTCATTGAGGGAAACGTGAATTCTAACATGTACTTTGACATACTGAAGCAGTTCTCAGGAACTGGACTGCAGAGCAGTGTTCCAATATGATAATGACCCCAAACACACCTCCAGGATGACCACTGGCTTGCTAAAGAGGCTGAGGGTAAAGATGATGGACTGGCCAAGCATGTCTCCAAACATAAACCCCATAGAACACCTCTGGGGCATCCTGAAAAGGAAGGTGGAGGAGCACAAGGTGTCAAACGTCCACCACTTCCATGATGTTGTGATGGAGGAGTGGAAGAGGATTTCAGTGGCAACCTGTGAAGCTCTGGTCAACTCCATGCCCAAGAGAATTAAAACCATGCTGGAAAATGATGATGGCCACACAAAATATTGACATTTCACATTTTCCCTTAGGGGTGTACTCTCTTTTGTTGCCAGGGGTTCAGCTATTATTGGCTGTATTTGTAGTTATTTTGAGCGGACAATAAATTTACTCTGCTATACACACTTTACACTGACTACTTTTCATTGTGTCAAAGTGTCATTTCTGCAGTGTTGTCCTATGAAAAGTTATAAATAAATATTTGCAGAAGTAGGAGGGGTGTACTCACTTTTGTGACATACTGTATTACTGTATTTTCTTCATTTCACGCAGGATAAATTAAAGTGGAGGCTGTTTGATGATTTACCCCAAGCTGGTGTTTCACTCTCCTAACCAGCGCAACATCAATGAATTGTTGTTTTTTTTGAGACCCTTTCTGCAGATTGGTAAAACCAATACCTCATCTGGTAGAAAGAATGCCTCATCCATCAGGTATAGAAACAATAACCGTTGGACGTAACTAGGCAAAGTGATGGTGAAAGCACAGCAAGTAGAATAGCTGGTACTACAGAGAACACAAGGTGAGGAAGGATCATATAGTGTTAGTCTTTAACCAAGCTATATATGCCAAATCTTGTAGTGATTAGATTAGGTGAGTTTCACACATGCATGTCCTACCTAAGCATTCTGGGGAAAAGGTTTGGAGATGCAGGACTGCAGGATATACTCATTGATTCAGAAGTTCATGCTCTAGGAGCTATCAATGGAGTGATGAGTGGTCATCACTATAACCGCAGCATGAGGGCACACAGACATCTGAGAGTCGGCTGTGCATCAGATTTCTCAGATTCTTAGACTCTTTGCAACCAGAAGACCGAGATGAGTGAATGACTGTCATAAGTGAGATCAGATGTGCATTCCAGAACAGGACAATGGATAATTTGTCTGAAAATGAAGAATTTGTCAAAATGTGTTTTAACATGTAGCTTTCAGGTTCTGATGATAGCGATAAGGATAGTAGGGATGAGTAAAAATGATCTGTGTACATGTTAGTTCGATTTGAGCTGTAATAAAGCTTCTGTAAAATTTTACAATTTTTAGCATTATTGAAAAAAATTTATGCAGCAGACCAGCATTTCAGGTTATTTTAGCCAACTTAGACCAAAAACTGTTTTTATTTATAATTTTGTGTGATACCCAAGAGCTCACGGAACATTCTTGTTAAATAAAACATAACAAACATGTTTAAGTTCAAATATTTTCTTCAGTTTTATTTAGTGCTTATCTGTAAAGTTATAGTGGGTTGTAAAAAAAAAACAAAGCCTAATTTCATTGTCTTAATTTTAAATTGAGTAGATTAATGCACCAGCACTGGTCTTATGTATGTAGCTACATGAAAAAAGTGGATTTGACACATATTATGTGTTGCTAAAATGCATATTAATAAAGTTACAGGAAAAACTAGCAGCATAAGATTTTTGTTTTTTGTAAAAATTCCTAATTATACACATTTATGCATCTTGACAAAAAAAATGCAGTATTTTTTTGTGAAAAACTTTTTACATAAAATTCAAAAGGGTGTTGTCTATCCAGAAATGTATTTAAAAAGAAGAGCCCAGATGTGTGAACGAAAATCATTCTCTAGCCACTTTTTCTAGGTTCACCTTATGGCCTATGGACACGGAGAAGACAAAACAGGACATATACCTGAATAACCTCTTTTTCTTCCGGTTGTGCTTTATAGAGTAGTGATTTTTTATAGAGCTCAATGTGGATTACTTTGAAAATCACATATTTATTCAAAATTAAATGACTGCTTTCATTAACTCTGCCTAAAACACTCCTAAAATCGACTCCTAAAACACCAGAGATATTCCAGTTCCTGCATAATTTAGGGATACATAGAGTTAATTCTCCCTTGCATTTTTAAACAGTTTATTAGATCATGCTGTACATTTTATTGCATATATAATGTGTAACACTTGTCTATATGTACTTTACCCATACTGAATAATGTATTATTGAGTCTTGTGTGCCATGAAGTAATAATATTATAAATCTGACTTCTTCTGTCCTATTTTTACTCGTCATTGTTTTAATTTTAATTTAATATTGAATATTTATAAGAGTCAAAAATAGTGCTCTCCCTTCATTTTTCCAAGAGAAATCTCTATTCAATCATACGATTTAGATCTTCTTTGAGTAATTTATAACCAGTTGACTGTCCTGAACTGCACACAACAATTCACACATACTTTACATTCCCTGAACAAGTCACCAAAGAATCAGTCCTTGTTAGAACAAATTCACATGCACTTAACTTATAGTGCATGTACTCCAAACACTTGCGACCTTAGTTGGCTAATGATGGTTTTGGAAAATGCACCTCCAGACCTACTCCGGCGACGTGTAACCCACTTCTAACCCAAATAACCTTAAATTTGGTTCCATGTCTTTTTTTTTTTTTTTTTTTTTTGGGAAAAAACAGTCTTTGTTTCACCAGCAGGTTCTATTGTGCTGAAACCCGCTCTCCCTCGGAAAGCCAATACAGATGTAACTAAAACTGCAATTCATCGACTCCCCTTGAGAAGCTGGCTCCAGGAAGTCCAGGGGCCTCATGTACAAAGACTTGCGTTAAAATCATAGTAAAACATTGCATACGCAGTAAAAAATTCAGATCTATGAAACACTGCATACGCCGAATCCCATGCATATTTTCTTTGTACATCCGAATTAACGTGAAACTGAGCACACGTGCACTAGCGCAAAACCCCTCCTCCCTCGTATAAATATACTAATGACTCTTGTGGCAAAACCAAATGAAAAAGCAATGGCAAAAGCAAGCAAAAATAGAAACTAAACAGAATGTGAATTGGAGGTGCTGCTGTCAATGGTAGACCAGAGAAAAACTGTTATTTTCAAATTTGTTCTCCGGAATTAATAACCAAAGGAAAGAGGGACTGTGGGAGAGTTAAGCTGACTCGGCTAACACAGTTGGGTCTAAAAATTGCACTGTGGGTGTATTAAAAAAAGAAAGGGTCAGATTTAAAGGTGTAAAATTTGTGGTATCTATAGCAGCGTGAGTGGCGTAGCTCATAAAGCGCATGGCAGCATGTTTTGACACATTCGATCATGAACTTGGTATAAATTAATTCATTCTTTTTTTCCCCAAACTGCATAACAGATTTTGCCTACTCTTCATCACGAGGAATACAAGTAGGAATCATTAATAAGTGTGTGTATTATGTTAAGCGCATTTGAGCATTATATTTTATTTGCACATTTTTTTGAATGGAAATGTTTCTGATTCACATATGCAAATTTGTCTTCAGATGGCGCCTTTATAGCGATGTGTGTGCAGTTGATCACTCCGATTACATTGGGAAAATTGGCGATTGCTGCAAATTGCACTTTAATGTTTGGCTGGTCAACTGCATGGTATGGAAACCTTATATACCTGCTAGACATGCAGACGATTCCATCCCAAACAGTTGATACATGGGGCCCCAGGTAATTTCTGACTGCAATGGAAAATTGGTCATTTTTACAGCTGATAAAAGCATGTTTACAGCCTGGTACAAAAGACGGCTTTGGTGCATATAGCTATGATTACCCTTCATGACAACTGTGAGGAGGGTGAATTTTTTTATAACCCATCCATTTTGTTTTTTATTATAGTCAATTGCCTTTTGGGATTATTTCCTACAATTATTAGATGATATGGCATGCTGTGTGCACTTAATTGTGCTCCCAAATCGTTCCAATTTGCCTCCATTTCCCAGGTAAGTGAAGTTAGAAACCATCTCTTTAAATCATAAGAACAATGTTTAGCGTCTCAATGTGTTACAGCAGTGGTTTTAAACATCTAAACACTTTATTGATATAGAATACAACCAAGCAAGTGAGGTCAGAACATAAACGAGTCACAGGTAATTAAGTATTAAGCGTTCACCTTAAGTAAAGTCTGTCTAAGCCAGGTCTAAATGCCAAAATGCCAGCAGGAGTCTTTAGCTCGGCTCACCCTCCGCCTTTTTACCCCTGTTTGGTATCCCACCATGGGTTCAATGATGCGCAAACAAAATAGCGACACTTAGACGCGCCTACTTGTAGCTTCTTTTACAGTGTTCACAAACCTATGGGTGACGTCACAGATACTACGTCCATATCTTATACAGTCTATGGCTGAAACTAGTCTTTTCCCACAATTTCAGTCCTCATAAAACTTGATAATGAAAAAATCGTTTTACTTCATATCGAAATAAAAGTCTTTACTTTATGAAAATTGGGTTAAAAATATTTTTTCTTTATTGGATATGATGGATAGCCATGATGGCATTCTTAATTACAATAGCTTCTGCCCAAAACATGGTTTTGTTTGTCACCCTAAAAAGTTTTACACAATTATTAAAGCTAATCCTAAAATCATCATATTGATCAGAGGTATCCTTTCACACTATTTTGTAATTTTTTCTCTTTGACCACTTTATGTTTTAGAGATCCAAAATGTAATAGGTTTTAAAGGAATATTCCTATTCAAAGGCTTCATTCTAATCAGCTCAGACCTCATTTGATTTTTAAAGGTTTTAATTCACCGGAATTAGAAAAAAATAAGAACAAGTAAAATTTCTTATCTAATTCCCCTATCTAAAATTAAAGAGCTTCAGTTTAAAATTATTAATGATGTGTATCCATCTAAAGAATTCCTGAGAATAAAATTTGATACTGAGAATAACTCTTGGTAATAAACCTTTTTCACAGCGGAATTGAACACCAGAAGCGCCCTTCGAAGCAATGTATCGCTATTTCCGGTTTCACTAGGAGCCGCAAAGACATGACAGCCTCAGGACAGCTGATGACTTTCTCACTGTCAGCTTTGCCATAATTTGGGCAGGAAGACGTTGTTTGGTTAATGTGTACAACTGCCTAAATAAAACAGCATTCAAAAGATGATACTAATTTGCAGAACTTGTAGCAGAAAACGTATCTTACACACAGCGTTTGCAACGTCAGGTTTCAGTAAGGTGCACAGCCAACAGCATAAGGCCCCGTTTAAACTATGCATTTTAGTTTGAAAACGCATAAGTTTTGCTATAGTTACGCCATCCGTCCACACTACGCTAGGGTTTTCGAGCGCCGAAAACGGATCGTTTCGAAAACGCTGGAGAGGCTGTTTTCATTCTGAAATGCTGCTGTTCCATCTCAGTGTGGATGGGGGAAAACAGACATCTGAAAAATGCGGGGGCGGGGCTGCAGACATTCGCATCTGATTTGAGCTTCTCCTCAATATTAAGTAGCCTAAACACACAGTTCAGTCTCGCATCCTCTCCCTGTAAGTTCAGACTTCACAAGAGGACATGTCCGGTAAATCTTCAAAGGGAACAGTGTACTTTATAACCTTATTCACATCATCCTGGCTGTGTTGTTTCACTTTCTCAACAATAAAATGAAAACATTATTTAAGGAACTGACTACTTTAATTTTGATATTAACAACTTAACAGACAGCAGAATGCTGAGGCGTTGTGCTGCATCTTCACTATATGCATATTTAAAATAAAACAGAGCCTATATAACATCACTGCCTCTTTTCATTTTCTTTAAAAAACGAAACCTATCCTCTGCTTTGCTGAATGTCAGTTTTAATAAACAATAATAGCCATTATGAAAGTATAACGCACAATAAGTTTATAAATTATAGGAAATAAAGGCAAGCGATCCGTCAATATACAGAATGTACATGGCAACATTAATTATTAACTTATCTTTGTGCTAAGCCAAAACACGTTACCTGTGAACAAGTAATCAATTCAAAAGACCAAAGTCGGGGAATATGTCATTAGATATAGACAACAAGATTAATTAAATATCACGTTTAGCAAATATATTGAGATTAGATCCAGCAGGAGATGCTTGATGAGCTGCCGACCAGCACAGCTCTCATCTGGGTAGAAATGCTGCAGCACTTGTCCGAGAGTGTGTGTGTTGTCACGTGATGTGTGTTTTCATTGTTTTGGTGTGGACAGAGAGCAGTTCAGAAATGCTGGGTAAAACGCTAGTGTGAATGCGGATCGTTTTCATTCTAAAACATCGTTTTAAAACTAAAACGCACAAGTGTAAACGGGGCCTAAGATCTTTTCATTCAAGCCATTCGTAAGCAAGATTAACTAGGCTATTTAACATTTAGCAGGATTAGTTTTAAGTCAGTAGTCTCGTATGTAAACTGTGCTAACCCCTCCTTCCTTTTTTATTCAGAGTCAGATATAGTGAATGGCGAGGTAGTTGTACAGGCGAGTTGCTATCGGTCAATGCAGGAGCCCTATACATTACAGGTTGTTTAATGCTCGTAAGGTTTTCTTAAGTCTGGAAACACGTTAGCTCCTACTTGTGGAATAAAATAACTTTTATTATTTATTTGAAAAACAGCAAATAACATTTTACAATACAAAATTATACATGCCAGGGGGTCATTATAAATAAAATACAAATATACAAAATGTAATATAACATATGTAATAATTAAATACATCGTAGAGTTCACACATTTTAAAGTGGGTCGAGCTTTCTTGTTTAGAGAGTTGATAATAGTATTCTAAAAGCATATTTTAGTCATTAATACCTTAAAATTTGGTTTCTTATTAGTAAATTTACATTTATGAATGTACAATTTTATTTACAACATAAGCAAATTAAATAAATAAAACTACTTTCCTCTAGATTAGGATAATCAAGTAAAGCCCAAATGTACATTTTTCCATAATGATGAAAGAGGTTTTGAACACAAAAGAATTGTTATTAAAACATTTTTGCACCTCACCCCATAAGCTGACTATGTACAATGCCAAAATAAGTGTAAACCGTCTCTTCAAATTCATTACAAAAGTACAATTTACATCAATCCCACTTTTAAATTTTGGCAAATAATGTTTTGCTGGATAAAACATTGGCATTAGTTTATAGGATATTTCTTTAATTCTATTTCTAATATGATATTTCTGTGGTAACAGCCATACTTTTCTTCAATTCACCCTTTAATAAAGACACCCAATAAAATTGGATATAAGGTACAGTAATGATTTCTTTTGGGAAAAAAATAAGAATAGCTCTATCATTACTCTTGGTATTTACTGTAAAACAAAATTTGCCAACATAAGATTTAGTAATATCAAAAGATGATGCATCAGAAGGATGGTCTAATTAATACATCTAAATAACATAAATTAATAACATGTCTCTGAAAGAATTGAAACAATAACAGTTGAAAACTTGCTGGGTTATTGAGATTTTGTAATGAAAAAGCACTTAATTGTAAGAAAATACCATCTTTATTATATAACTGACTAAACAAATAATTTTGTTGTCAAACCAATTTAAAAAAAGAGATTTGCGTTTGTATGAATTGTCTATTATTCCAAAATAAACAATAATGTGGGGAGAAAATATGCTTATAGATTTATGACCATGATGAGCACTTGTTTGTGGAAGGCAGATAGCTTAACTGGAGTTTTGTCTATATTATAATTACTCATCAAAATAAAACTAAGACCACCAGTCTTTAATAAAACTTTTAAGTGCATACAGCATACCAATGTACCCCCGCATATAACTTGAAACGACATTCAACCCCTATATAATTTCATCCATGATTTTCTCTGCCCTTCGTCTTTCGGGAGATTGTGGTAATTAAAGCAATTTTATTGAGTTGGAGCAGCTGAGAACGCTGCAATTACAGCGATGAGATGACCCTGCCATTCTTTCTTAGGCCCCGTTTACACTAGTGAGTTTTAGTTTTAAAACGGCGTTTTGGAATGAAAACGATCCGCGTCCACACTCGCGTTTTACCCAGCGTTTCTGAACTGCTCTCCGTCCCCACTAAAACGCTGAAAACGCACATCACGTGACCACACACACAGTCTTTGGCAATCGCTGGAGCCCATCTACCCAGATGAGAGCTCTGCTAGTCGGACTTCTCATCAAGCATCTCCCGCTGGATCTAATCTCACTATTAAACGTGATATTTCATTCATCTTGTTGTCTTTATCTAACAACATATTCCCTGACTTTGGTCACTGGAATCTATTACTTGTTCTGAGGTAACGTGTTTTGGCTGAGCGCAAAGATAAGTTAATGATTAATGTAACCACGTAGCCTATTATGTATATTGACTGATCGCTTGCCTTTATTTCCTATAATGTATAAACTTATTGTATGTTATACTCTTATAATGGCCATTATCGATTATTAAAACTGATATTCAGCAAAAGAGAGGGTGTGTTTCGTATTTTCACTGAAATTGAAAGGAGGCAGTTGTTATCGGCTGTTTTGTTATAAATATCCACACAGTGAAGATGACGCTCATGCAGCACGACGCCTCAACATTTCTGCTGTCTGTTTAGTTGTTAATATTAAAATAAAAATAGGCAGTTCCTTATATCAAGTTTACATTTTATTGTTGAGAAAGTGAAATAACGTAGCCAGGGTAATGTGAATGAAGTTATAAAGTACACTGTTCCCTGTGACGATTGACGCGTGTCTTCGGTATGTTTTCCATATCAAACTGAGAAGAAGAGATGCAGCCTTGATCAAACTTGCGAAGTCTGAACTTACACGGAGAAGATGCGGGACTGAACTGTGTGCTAGGCTACTTAATATTGAGGAAAAGCCCCTATCAGAGAGGCGAATGTCTGCAGCCCCGCCTCCGTTGTCAGATGTCTCCGTCTTTCCTCATCCACACTGAGACGGAGCAGCAGCGTTTCAGAATGAAAACGGCCTCTCCAGCGTTTTCGAAACGCTCCGTTTTCGCCGCTCGAGAACTCCGGCGTAGTGTGGATGGATGGCGTAACCGTAGCAAAACTTATGCGTTTTCAAACTAAAACGCATTAGTGTAAACGGGGCCTTACTCTGTCGCATTGAAACCGGATGTTGTGGTACGCTGTTTCAGTTACCTGAACCAGGAAGTGGGAAAAAGACCTATTTTGTGAGAGTGATATTGAAAACACTGATGAGCATATTTTCTACAATTGCATACTCATGTACATGACAGAATGTCTCGTCTATATCTATGCAAACTTTTTTAGCTATAAACAAGTTAAATATGGTGTAACTAAAGAAAATTGTACAAAGCATTATCTGGTTAATAACCTTTTGAGCTTTGCAAAAAATTTTATTTATAAATGAAGGGCTTCAGTAGTAATAAAGCTAACAAATCAATCATGTTCATTCACAATAGAGACACTAGGTTTCCCATACAACAATTTATTTGTAGTAATAAATAAATTTGTAGTAATACAACCAGTTGTCTACAGAAAGTTTACCTGTCTTCATAAAGAAAACGTGTTTCTTTTCTCAAATTAGTCAATCAAAATAAATGTGTGGAGTTTTGAAACCAAAGTCTTCATTTGTTACCCACAACACATCAAGATTTGATCAAGTCAAAATCTCATAATCTGACACAAATCTAGGGTCTGTTCTTCATTTGTGGATTACTCAATTAGCTGGATTTGGTTATTGACAATTTAAGACAATCCAGGATCATTTCCTTCTTCAAAACTCATTCGAAAATTGTCATACCAACAGGTATGGTAGCTCAAATTTGCTCTGGAGCAGGCTCATTTCATTTAAACAGAAATAGATCGGGTCAGATCAAGCAAAGATAATACTGAAAGTATGTACCGAATGCTGATATTTTCTTACAGTAGTAATATACACTTGGGAAGATGAATATATATATATATATATATATATATATATATATATATATATATATATATATATATATATATAAAGTTAAAGAATATATATTAATAAAACTTCTGCAATCAGCACTCCAGAATAAAAAAAGTACAAAGACTGTCACCTGTCACAAAGAGAAAATTTATTGATAAGGAGTTTTTAGATACAAATGCATAGAATTGCTTTAGTAAATGCACAATAGTCAACCTTTTTCAAAGGAGTAATACATTTATGCAGTCAGACAGCTAATATGTTGGTGATTTGATGCTTCGATGCTTTGTTGGTGAAAGTTGCAGACACCTCTACCAATATTACAATGTTTTTGTGATGCAAAATTAATTTAAAAATCCAGTCATTCTTTACACCGATTAAGAGACAAGCTACGATAATACTGCTATGGCTACTATAATAAAGAAAATCTGCTCTAACTGTAAAACTAAATAAATTGGTAAATACTCTTGACAGATAAAAACGTAAAGCCTGTGGCCCACAACAAAGTTGTAAAGATGCGTATCATATTTTACAAACCGTTTCCAATGAATTCGATGTAATTCATGGATAATCGAATATTAATTTAATGATGTCATTACGCTGCTGTGCCAACAGCCAATCACTGCATTGCTGATCATGATTTTTGGAAACGATAGATCTGTCCTTCACAACACACACAGCGATTTTAGATCAGTTCATCCAGACATTTTAATCTGATTCACAAACTTGTTTGAAGAACCTTATTAGCCAGAGATCAGTTATCAAGATTAAAATATCCAGGATCTGCCAAATCATCTTAAATCATTTAAGCGAGGCACAAAGAACAGACCCATGATCTGTCATAACTAGTCTGAACAGGGCTTTAGGGAGTCTGCATCAGTCGGTCACTGTCATTGCCTTATGGCGAGTTCAAACCGCATAAGTCTGAGTTTATTCACACGAGTGACAATCAAACAATGTAAATGATCAAAAACAATCTAAGGGTATAGAACAGTGTTCCCTGCATCTCCCCAAACATTTTCTCCTCCCTAATCTTTCTGATTCTCGTTTCAGAGCCGACAAATTGATTTGTAGATTAATAAACTATTTGCAAGTGTGCAATGTGCACAAATATGGTTATCCCTATATAATATAGTTGAAACACATTGTTAGATTTTGCTGTATTTGGCCTAACCATTTTTGGGTGGCTCGCCAATGTATAGATGACTCTAATATATAAAATAAGTAAGCTAAGCAAAGTTCTTACGGGGAGAAGACTTTATTGAAGACAATGAATAGTGCAGTTCCTCAGCAGTAATGTTATGTTAACCGATCCGTCTTATAAGTAACTTAACCTAAAGTACTGTCTGTGAGAAACTACTTCATAATAAAGGATGTACTGTAATCCCCCCGGACATTACCCAACTGCTTTGGTTGGGTTGCAATTGTTGAGGTCCTGTAGGCCAGGGATGTCAAACTCAATTCCTGGAGGGCTGCAGCCCTGCACAGTTTAGTTCCAACCCCGCTCCAACACACTTACCTGTGGGATTCATACAAGCCAGATGGACTCAACTAGTTTGATCAGGTGTGTTTAATTAGGGTTGGAACTAAACTGTGCAGGGCTGCGGCCCTCCAGGAATTGAGTTTGACATTCCTGCTGTGGGCCATTTGGTTCACACCCTCTCAGATACTGATGCTTGTTTGCATATGAAACAAGCTCATAAGATCCTTGAGTCCTGGGCTCCCTCCTGTAAGCAGGGCGAGAGTGGAGTTTGAGCTCAGGTACATCTCGATGAACTCCCTCGACTTGTTTCTGTTCTAATGACAGATATAGGGAAAGCTTAAGGGAGTTATAAGGCTTACTAATAGCTTGACTATGGTGCCAATTTAGAATGTTCAACTTACTTGGGTTGCATGTTTTTGGACAGTGGGAGGAAACCAAGGAACCCAGGGGAAACCTACGCGAGCATGGGGAGAATGAGCAAACTCCGCACAAATGTCAACCGCTTCAGTAAGGATTTTAACCAAGGACTATAGAATACACAAGATATGTCACTCGTATACTTTTGAATGGGAAAAAGTGTAACTGTCAAATTGGCGAATGAAGCCTCGCCTTCTAGTACAGGAGCCAATCAGCGATCGCTATATGACGAATAAAGCGATCACTATAGTATGCTGATTCTCCGGGGGAGGGAATCAGCCCAGACCAGAGTTTCTGTGTAATACAAACATTTAGAAAATAATCTGAATAGACAGTTGTTGTTTAATTTTATTAGTTATTTGTAATATTAAATAAAATTGTAAGCTTGGCAAGTAGTTTCGGAGAATTTGATGTTTCCCCATTCAAAGATATTCCCCAAGCCTACTGCCCGAGAGTCATTTCAAAGACGGCTGCCGAGTAAAATGACTTTCCTAACGGGACTTTGGTTTAACGTGTGACATTCTTGTTGTGAGGCAACAGTGCTAATCACTGGGCTGACGTGTCGCCAAATCTAGGAAGGAGGGGAAGTGGGGGTGGGAGGGGGGTTCTTCAAGATGAATAACTGAGGTAAGAAACTCTGGTTATTTATAGTGTGTCAGGATTCATCTGATTGGTGAATCATGTGTTAGCTAATGCAGGATCAGCCATGGACAATCATAAGCATATGATCCTCTCGAAAGTAGTTTATAAATAAACATGAATGAACAGCCAACCTACATTAAAAAGCTCCCGTTTTAAATATATACACATTATTGCGTGACAAGGCTTTAATTTTGAGGACTCTGATCTCTATTGTGACACTTCATATGAGTGCTGAGGCTTCTTTTATTTTTAAAGCCCTTTCCACACTCACTGCATCTAAAAGGATCCTCTCCTGAGTGAGTCTTCATGTGTCGCTTAATGGAGTCTTTGCGCGTGAGACCCTTTCCACACAGATCACATGTGAACACTATGGTTCCAGTGTGACCATTAATGTGGTTTGTGAGGCTAGCTTTGGTTGTGAAGTTCTTTCCACACTGAGAACATGCAAACGGCTTCTTTCCGGTGTGACTTTTCATGTGGTGTTTGAGTGTGCTTTTGCATGTGAAACATTTACCACACTTTGTGCATCTGTAAGGTTTGTCTTCAGTGTGAATCCTCATGTGGATTTCAAGGGCTTGTTTTCGAGAAAAAGTCTTCCCACACTGTTTGCAAGTAAAAATTCTCTCTCCAGTGTGTGTTCTCATGTGGGTTTCAAGGGTGCCATTTAGCTTGAAACTCTTTCCACACTGAATGCAAGAGTAAGGCCTCTCTCCAGTGTGAGTTCTCATGTGCATGGCAAAGTTACCTGATTGATAGAAGCTTTTTCCACATTGTTGGCATATGTACGGCCTCTCCCCAGTGTGAATTCTAACGTGCACTGCAAAGTTTCCTGCATGATAGAACCTTTTTCCACACTGTTTGCATGTGTACGGCCTCTCTCCAGTGTGAATTCTCATGTGGGTTGTAAACCCCTGTATATAACCAAAACTCTTTCCACACTGTTTGCAGGTGTAAGGTTTCTCCCTAGTGTGAACTCTCATGTGAACATCAAGGTTTGACTTTTGACTGAAACCCTTTCCGCATTGTTTACAGCTGAAAGGCCTCTCTCCAGTGTGAATTCTCATGTGTTTATTAAAGCCTTGTATTTTACCAAAACTCTTTCCACACTGTTTGCAGTTGTAAGGTTCCCCCCTAGTTTGAACTTCGACGTCAACATCAAGGTTTGACTTTTGACTTGAACTCTTTCTATTTTGTTTACTGCTGAAATTACATGCAGATTTGGATTTCCGAGGTCTTCCACGTGATGATGTCTTTTTATTCAGTGTGGGTTTTTCATCAGTCGTTATTTCTTGGGGTTTTTCTTCCATTTCATTCTGCTGATGAGCCTCTTCTTTCAGCACCATTAGGTCTTAAAAAAAAAAAGTTAACTTTAGAATGAAGGCACAAAGCGACAAGCATGAAATGGATGATTCATCCAGATATTATTAAAATGACCATACTATTTACTCTCCGTCATGTGATTTTAAAAATTTCCATTTTTCTGGAACAAAAAGCAAGCCAGCGTTTTATCAAAATATCTTCTTTTTGTGTTCAACAGAACGAGGAAACTCATAAAGATTTAAAACTAAATGACGAAGAGTAAATGGTATGCCTTTAAAGGGTTCCAATTATTAATCTTTTTTTTACAAGATGTAAAATAAGTCTTTGGTGTTCCCAGAATATGTCTGAGGTTTCAGCTCAAAATCAGATCCTTGCAGAATATTTAATTTTGGGGTCAGAGGAAAAACAAGCTCTTTTTGTGCCTGTGGCTTTAAATGCAAATGATTAAGTGTACTCGCTCTAGATTACAAGTGTTGTGTTCCCTCGTGTATCTTCCACTAGATTTAAACATTTGTAACTTGCTTGGAAGACCCGATTGACACAAATCCTGCATGTTCATAGCAAATATGCATAATTCACGCTTTTATTAGTGAGTTTGTATTATTGTATATAAATTATGTAAATATTTTTTCATGTTGGTGGTTCATTCCACTGTGGTAAAACCCTGATAAATAAAGGGACTAAGCCAAAGAAAAATGAATGAATGAACTTATGCAAATGCTTAATGCCACGTTTGCTGTAAACTGGAGTGATGAGGAGATGGCGAGATGACATACTTTGCTGCTTGTTTTCATTCATTTGTACTATTGTCTTTGTTTTCTTGCCTTTGTGCATTTCCTAAGACTTAGCTGAATACATACGTGGTGACATTTATATACCCGACAAGATGCGGAAATACCATCTAAAAAGGTCACCTGCTATTTGTGCAATCACGGACAGTGACAACGAAAATATACAAATAATAATGTTAACCCAGGGTTTGTGAAAGTGAAACGTCTGTTAATGAACACCAGGGGCCTCATGTATCAACGCTGCGTACGCACAAAAACTTTGCGTACGCCAGGTTTCACGCTCAGAATCGCTCATGTTTGGATTTACTAACAATGAACTGAACGTGGGAATGTGCGCAGCTTCACGGCAGCTTTCTGGCAGGCGTACGCACATTTTTTGTGCGTGTCTGTTTTATTTCCATTGGCGACTCCTAGAGGCAGTTGTGTTAAATTCCTCTCTACAAAGTGTCTAAGCCTTACAATGGCAGCTGTATGAGACGGGTTCAGCAGGTATATAAGGTTTCCATACCTTACATTTGACCAGCTAAACATTAAAGCACAATTTGCAGCAGTCGCCTGTTTTCCCAATGTAATCTGAGCGATCTACCGCACGCACATTGCTATAAAGACACTATCTGAAGATGAATTTGCATGCGTGAATCAGAAACATTTCCATTCAATAAACGTGCAAATAAAATATGATGCTTATTGATATGAACTTATTGATGATTCCTACTTGTCTTTCTCGTGATAAATAGTTGGCAAAATCTGATATGTAGCGGGGGAAAAAACAAGAAAGGGTTCATCAGACGCTGGATTCGAGACGAGTTCATGCTCGAACGTATCAATTCATGATCACATGCGTCTTACGAGTAGCGCCACTGAGACTGTTAAGCGTCCTGCAACATTTTACAGATATAAACCACACTATTTCTTTTGTTAATGCACTCAGTGCGATGTTCAGACCCAACTGTGTTGACCGCATCAGCTAAACTCTCCCACTCTATTTTTTTCTTTTGTTGTTAATTCCGGAGAACAAACTTGCAAATAACACCGCTTTTCTCCGGTCTACCTCCGAAAGCAGCACCTCCAATTCACATTCTGTTCAAAGTTTCCCTTTTTGCTTGATTTTGCCATTGCTTTTTCGTTGGGTTTTTTCATTAGCATAGTCATTAGCATATTCATACGGGGGAGGAGGCAGGGAGGGGTTTTGTGCTCGTGCATGTTGTGCTCAGTTTCATGTTCATTCAGATGTACAAAAGAATATGCGTGAGATTCGGCGTAAGCAGTGTTTTATACATCTGAATTTTTTTCTGCGTACGCACATTTACAGCTTTGAGCGTACGCAATGTTTTAGTAAGATTTCCACGCAAGTCTTAGGACATGAGGCCCCATGTGTATATATAGCATGAGCAGTGTGGATCGTGATTACAGATAACCCAGGATTCTGTTTATCCAGTGTTAGAATTACCTAAGGTTAACAATTTCAGTGTCAAAAGCTCTAAGAATACTCAGCATCAACTCTCAGAATAACCACAGTACAATGACAAACAGTGACATACATAAATTGTCAATCATGTCATAGCAGTGAACTAATCTCATATGCTATTGTTTTAGAACTTCCAATTATAGTGCCTATTGGAAAAATGATCAGGAATAATAAACGGCAGAAAACAGACAAACTCAGAGGGGGACTGGCCATAGGAAGCACAGTCTTCTGGCCTGCCACCGTGATTCTGGCCCGCTCAGCCCCCACTTTTTATAAACATTATGCTTCTCTCCCCATACTTAATCTAGTAACAAAAAATGTATCCATAACAAAGTATAAAAGTACAATTATTAAGCACATTATAATTGTGGTTGTAAGTCAAGAATACAGCATATGTGCAGTTTTAAACTGTTTACTAACCCTTATTACAAAGAGTTAATGCTGTGTATTTATTATAAAGTGTTACTGAATTATCTGCTGTCTTAAACCCGACTCATGGGCGAGAATTGTTGTTACGAAGTCTTATCTGACACTTTATCCCTCCTTTCTGCTTTATAGCCATATTCAGTGAAAGTAACATCATCATCATTTTACATTAACTTTGCAAAACTCGCTGCATGGGGACACTTCTGCACAAAACGCTGTTAAATCGGTTTCATGGCAAATGAGCAGCGTGTATTTTATCAGCATGCATGCAAACAACCGGGATTTACACAGGAGCATGTGTGTGAAGTGCGCGGGAATGGTTTTCTGTATGCATGCATCAGTTTGCTTTCACCAGCGTTGTTTCGGTTGCACATAAAGAATAACAACCTTGCGCGTGGAAAAGATGCCAAATGTAAACGGCTCCTAACGTCTTTATTCTGGGATTGCCACTCTAAATTAATGCACTTGCATAAAGTAATCGTATCTCAATGCTTTTACTTGGGGACGTTTTTTTTTTTTTTATGCACCATCTTCCTGTGCTGCCCCCAGCAAAATGCCGCCCTGGGGTGCGTTTCTCAAAATAATCGTTAACCAACTAAGGTCGCAAGTTCCATAGTTACAAACATAGTTTGTTGATTTGCTGTTTCCCAAATCCGTCACTAACGAACATTTGTAAACTGCATCGCAAACTTGTGCACTCGCAACGACATCTCTGGAGCTGTAGTTGGAAACATAGTTCCTGGCTGTGTTCTATTCCAACTTATCCCCCCTATGCCCTATTCATTTAGAACATTCTAACATTCAATGTTAGAATGATTAAAAACAAAAAAAAGCATTAAAGCCATCTCTCTTATGTGCAATTTGCTTTCAAACTATTTTTATGTTTGTTTTAGTGAACTTCATGTTTACAATTGTGCTCCCTTCGCAGTGCACTTTGAAAACATTGATGTCATTTTGAACACAGCCTCATGACGAAAGCTATGGGTGACCTATTATTTAAAAGCGGAACTTATGTAACGTCTCCAAAGCTTGTGAAAACAAAAAGCATACATTATTAACTTATAGTGGGTTATTTATTAAGTAGCCTATCTGTACTGTATGATATGGGCCTGCTGGTTAGAACTTTCTGCAGTGGTTTGCGTGTGTCAAAAAAAAATTACAAATAAATAAACAATATCCTACTTAATACTCATCATCATCATTAATATTATTATTAAAGTATTTTTCCATTTCTAATAAATATTACATTTCATTTTATAATAATAGCCGGATTATTTATTTATATTATTTATACATCAGAATACGTGTTAGCTTTTGTAAGTGATTTTATGTTTTAGCATAGAATACGTAATGTTTAACTTCTCAATAATATTAGTAAAGCAAACATAGGCCCTATGTGTCATTTACATATTTCAGTTAATATAGAAAGCGAGTCTATGTTTTTATCAAATCTAATAATATTGAATTTATTTTAAATGCGTGTATGTGTAAAACAATAGAATTTTTAAAATGAAATGATGGGATGGGATTCTTCTCTAAAGAAGTTGTTACTCCACCCCGTTAAGAGTATCATTACGGGCGTTTTACGTTATAACTAACGTGGTTCAAGCGATGGATCTGCGATAGAGAAACTACGCTTTTTGGGAAACACTTATCACTACATAGTTCTTTTCCCAAATAATGCATCGTACTATGATAGTTCATTATTGTTCCACTACAATGTTCGTTTTCTCACGTCATTCCACAACATCATATAGTTTAGAATTCTGTACAATATTTTATAATAATTAATTATTTTAGTGTCCATTTCATAGAGCATGTTTAAAATTGGGGGCGTTTTTTGACATACTTTAAACCAGGGTTTCTGCAGGTTTCACCAAGTTAAATGTGAGACTTTTATGACCATAATGGATGAAATGTTTGACTCATAAAGGGCTAAAGACTAAGGCATTTTTCAAATGGCCCAGATTTTGTATCTGTCCTATAAAAAAATATTATAATTTAATAATATAATATATTTTCCAGAAATGGGTTGGGAAGAGCATCCGCTGTGTAAAAACTTGCTGGATAAGTTGGCGGTTCAGTCCGCTGTGGCGACCCCGGATTAATAAAGTGACTAAGCCGACAAGAAAATTAATGAATGAATATAATATAATATTTTCGGCTCAGTCCCTTTATTAACCTGGGGTCGCCACAGTGGAATGAACCGCCAACTTATCCAGCATTTGTTTTTTACGCAGCATATGTCCTACCAGCTGCAACCCATCATTGGGAAACACCATACACTCATTCACACACATACACCACAGACAATTTAGCCTACCCAATTCACCTGTACCACATGTATTTGGACTTTGGGGGGAAACCGGAGCACCCGGAGGAAACCCACTCAGATGCTAACTCAGATACTATATATGGGAACTAGTAACAACTACTAAAAACAAGTTTAAACCCGTAAAGAAGTTAATGAAAAAAAGGGAATTGTGATTAACGTGACATATGCAAATAGAAAGTACTAAGCCAACACTATAACTGTAATAGCAGATATTTTCTATGAGAATATTGTAGGTCAAATATCGTCAGCTCAATAACTTTTTAAATTTATTGTTTTTATTTACTTTATATAGCGCCAGTGCTCAAGGACGCTTTAAAAACAGTAGGAGAAAAAAAAACAATAACCTTAAGAAGGGAGAGAAAATAGGAGACTAATAATACATAAAAAGTATGACAAAAAACCTGGGAACAAGTGAGAAGGAAACGTATTCCTGTCTTTCAATGAGTGCTTATGTGCATTTAGGAGAACTAGGCAGCACAACCAGGGCTGCAAGATGGATTTAATTTAGTGTTTTTATTATTAAAATATATCTGAATGAGCATCAAATGACTGAGTTTGTCTTTGAGAATGAAAACCAACCTGTTTGTTCCTGCAGATCTTCCTGTTTTACGGTGAATGTTTCTTCAATCTTCACATCTTCACTCTCCTCTTTAATAAATGCCATCTTTATAACAGTGTGGAGATCAGTCCCTTCAGCAGGAGTTTTTTTTTTTTCTCAGCGTTTGGACACTTTATCCTGTTTAAAATAAAAACAATAAAAATGTTCTGTTTAAAATGAATAAAACAATGAACAGAAACAAAATGACTTCTCTTCAACAGTTTATATGAGAGTAATTAACAAAAAAAACGTAATAAATAAAAAATCAGCTAAAAGTGTAAGTCTGAGCAAAAAACAACTGCCACAAATGACCTGATTAAAACTAGTACTCCTTTTCTTGTATTGATGTATACCTAAAATGAAATTACGTTGGGCTATTTAATAAACTAAACGCTCATTAAAACACTTATTTCACACGTTTTTGTTGTTCAAACAATAGCCCTCATTACTAACAATAAAATAGGATTAACGTTGTATAAAGGGTTAAAATTATACCGTCAACAGCACGTACATTAGGAATGAAAAACTGAAACTTTAATCAATCGGTTTATATCTTTGTAAAAGTTTTAAAACAAACCTTTCTCCAGTTGAATCACAGCGTGGAAGCGGCGCAGCCTTGTGACGTCACATGCTACGCCAAAATAAAAGTCTTTTTTTTGTTTAGTTTTTTTTGCCACTTATTGTTGCAGTCATGACATGATAAATTTGTCCCTTGTTTTCCCTCTCCCCTTGCTCTCTCTCACATATACAGACATTCTGTATTTGAAGTTGATCAAAACTTTTAATCCAAACATTTTAACACAATTTTGAAAACCTTTAAATCCAAGTCTAATTCAACTTTAAGCCTTTACACTTTATGCTGTTTAGATGTTTTTATAAAATCATGTATTTAATTATTTATTTATTTATCATTTTTTATAGATATATACAGCAATTACATCGTGTGATTATACATCTTTGTAATGAAATTGTTAGGCTAGGTGTGTAAGTGAAGTGTCGGATACCTCTCTTGTGCCACCAGAGGGATCTTGTGTCCTCATGTTCTCGTGTAATGTCATCATTAACTGCCAAAGTTCAGTTTCAATACTCAAGACCGCAAGAACAAAGGATGCATGAAACTTCCCGGACGTGTTCTTGGCATGGAGGATGCACCGATGCAGACTTAAGCACCAATCTTCGTCTAGAAGTCCCAAAAGTCATTGCGACTGGAGGTGGAAAGCGCAGGATTTTATTTTATTTTATTTAAAGTTCAGATTTGTAACGTATTTATTTCAGGAGTTTCCCTAAATGAAACTGTGAATATAAACATCACCATAAACATCTTATTAAAGGAATAAACACATTAAAGGTGTTTATTTGCTGAAATACGCAGCATCTCATTTCTCAGAGAACGCATTTTCTGTTCTCATGGTCTTTCGAGTTTGTTCTTCCGAGGACACCTGGCAAGACCGATCTCCAGAAGAACGCAAGTCCGTTCTCTGCGTTCTTGGAATTGAGAAATAGCCACTGAAACGGTCGAAGCTTCGAAATGTTTCGAAACCCGCCTCTACAGTGATACCTAGTAGTAATTTTTATGTGTTGCACAGGAATAGCTTCAACAAAGAACAGCTGAGCAAATTGAGATATTAAACCCCACTTTGTATATTTAAACATTCAGGAGATTTAGTGGAGTGGTTAAGGTTCCTGACTACCATGCAGGGATAGTAGGTTTGAGTCCAGGCTGATGTTCTGTTCTTGTATCAATTTGTTTCAACATTAGTCTGATATCTGAATAATCACTTTTTGAATAAATATGTCTTGTTTTGGTCATAAAACAGGGTTGTTGCTTGATCAGAGACAGTTGTGGCTGAAAGTTAACAATATTTATTATTCATTAAATTTCCCATGGAATTTTATTAACGTCTACCCAAAACCTAAATCACAGTACTGTAAAAATATAAATTATTGTTTTACAGTGTTACAAAAATGATGCTAAATTGATGGTGTATCCGCAGCTGTATCCTATCTAGACTTCACCATAAAACAGTAACATTATTAAAATACATAAAATCATGAATTCTGAGTTTTGTACATGTTGGGATTCAAACCCAAAAGCCATTTGAAGCACAGTAACAGCATGCACACACACAGTCCACCAGGCTTTATGAGACAGAAGTTACCATCTCTTGATTATTCCATTTATGATTTACAGCTTTAAAGTCATTCTTTAAGAAAGCCTACTTCTTTATATCAGTCAATGCTTGTGTATATATATATATATATATATATATATATATATATATATATATATATATATATATATATATATATATATATAAAGAGAGAGAGAGAGAGAGAGAGAGGCTATCAAGCTTAAATCATTATTAAGAGGTTAAGTGAATTAAAATGGCATCAAATTACAGCAGGTGAATGTTAACATTACCTTGATTAAGCCTGAACTTAAGACTTAGCCTGATAGTTAGCCTGCCCCGACCCATGCTAGTTTCCCAGCATAAGTTGTCAGAGTAACTGAGTTTGAACTATCGTAAATTTGATTCATGAAACAGAATTCGCTATTAATAAACCTGACTTACCAAAATAACCCTAGCTTTTTCTGTAAGCTTAGTTGAACAGGCCCAAGGTGTTTCAAAGATGAACACCTGAAATATGTGTCGTTTTATAATATAAAACTATCAGAATGTTACTAATCAAGGAATTTATTACTTAAATTATTTACCTTAACAATATAAACCTAAAAATACACACACACACACACACACACACACACACACACACACACAGCACACAATATAATCTATCAGTGGACATGAGCAATCCAATATGTATTGCATATAAATAATAATTTTAGTTAACAGAGAGTTAAAGTGCTTCAGTAGTCTGTTGAGTACTGGAATTAGCATGTAAGCTAACAAATCACTCATGTTTTCACTCACAATAGTGACACTGGGTTTCCCATACACTGATATATTTGTAGTAATGTGGGAGTTTTCACATGAACATATATTTAAAGGCAACCAGTTGTCTACAGAAATTGTCTTTAAAAAGAAAACTTGTTTCTTTTCTCAAATTAGCCAATCAAAATAAATATGTAGTGTTTTGAAACCAAAGTCTTAATTTGTTACCTACAACACATCAAGATTTGATCAGGTTAAAATCTCATAATCTGACATATAATACTGTTCGGGTTGTTAAAAGTTTGAAGTTCTAAAGCAGCTGTTTTCTTGAAAAAGACGTGACAGTGTCATTAGAAACTGAATTAGAAAGGACATTATTTTAATATATCAGTCGTGATCTGAGATGGGCCAGTCTAAGGCTTGAAACTCCAGGGCTGAAAATGAGTCCCACTCCGGCCCTGAACAGTGGTGTTCATATACTAAACGGTTTGACTACTTTGTGCGGGCAAACAAAATCAAAGATGTATCTTTGTAGTGCTGAAACCTGATGTATTCTCGAGTTATCACGGATGTCTGTACTGACTCAAGCGAGGCTGGCGTTAGCAGTGACTTTGCGGTTGGCTATGAAAGTTCGCTAACTGACTCCTCACATTTTATTGATTTGATTAAGGCCCTTTATGCAAATCCTACAGCTATGGTTAACAGGTAGGATTTCTTCATCATTGTTTGATATAGCTAGAGGTTCATGACAAGGATTCCCCTTAAGCCTGTTTTTATTTGCGCTTTCACGTGAGCTATTGGCACAGACCATACGCTTGGACAATGGCATCACCCCGATTATAGTTTGTGGGACTAGCCACTAAATATACTATTGTGATTTATGACAACCGTAGTGCGTGGCGCTCTGACCACCGGTGTATAGTGAACTCATCAAGGGTTAATGAGCAGCCACAGACTGAACTGCAAAGGCGGAGTTGGTTTATCTCTGTTTGCAGAGTTATTTAATTTTACTTTGTTATAAACAGCAGACACGTGCAGAAGGGGGGTTTAGGTGCTTAAACGCCTGCTCTTTTTTTCTCTCAAAGAGAAAGTTCTCCCTCCTTTGCACATGGATCCCCTATCCACAGCACCCAAGACGCTCTTCGGCTTCGCGATCAACCCGTGCCTCGATCGTTAACCAGATTAGTTACCAATAGGGATGTGAAAGTATCAGAATTTCACGGTACGATAATACCTCGGTATGAATGGCACGGTACGGTATTTATTGAAGAATTTACAGGAAAAACAAAACTAATGAAAAGACTCGAAAAAAGTGCCAAAAGTGTTTTTTTACCTTAGCACTGAACATATTAATGACATACAAATTAGCCATCTATCTGTAAGTTTCGAAACAGGAACTTCAATTTTTCAATTTTAATAACAAAAAACTATTAAACCATTTTAAAAAAATAAAGTTTTAATTTAGTATTGTTGAAAACTCATCATATTAAACATTTAATCACCCACTCACTCAGATAGAGATGGGGTTTTTAAGGGTAATTAACATATAACTATAATCTGGTAAAAGCTGGGATCTCTGGGATGTCCCCTGCAACAGAAAAAAAAACCTCTCATTTGGGACTGAGGTTTCTGGGACAGAGAGATATGATTTAGCCAAGGTTGACAGCAGTGGGTAACATTGTGCATTGTCTTTCCACCACTTGAGAGGACAAGCCATGAGTGAGATAGAGGTCTCTTTGCGGTACAATGTCAATGTCTGCATCAATCTAACAAGTGTGCTGTGTTCTGCAGTCCCCATGACTGTTTTTAGTCGTATTCCCCGACTTATATTTCACCACAGTCTGGCAGTGCCTGCACACTGTTTTTTTTCTTTGTCTGTCACCTTTAATCCTTTTTTGTATCTTTTTAGAAAGAAACCGAAATGCTTCCACACATGCGATTTAAAACCCGCTTTAGGTTCGATCATTTCCAGCTCTTTTTCTTCCCCGCTACTAGCAACACACTCCATTTCCACATTACTGGATCTGTAGTGACAACAGACCGCAAAGGATGATGGCCAGGCCTAGGCTGATGGGAATTGTAGTTCCCGCTACCTCCTGTTCGCTTCATTCGCCTAAGCCAGGGGTCGGCAACCCGCGGCTCTAGAGCCGCATGCGGCTCTTTAGCGCTGCC